ATATTGATTCATGACGCTCCGCTAGGCCCACTGTCGTGGAGGCTTTTTCGCTTCGCTCCATGGAAGACTTGAAAGAAAAGGAGGAGAAAGGAGAAGCTTAAAGAGAGGCTCATAGAATACCGGTCTATGTACGGCAAATTACAGTGAGTCCAATCCCATCGAATACCCCAAGAACATTTCTATCAACGTAGGTGAGGAGGAGCTTGTTCGTACCAAAACGCGGGGTGAACAATTGCAAGTAACAAGTGAATAAAGAACGAACCCTAATGACTCAGTAGCTACGAGCTATACTTTTTAACTCAAAGACCTCGGAAGACCGAGGTAATTGTTTTGATTCTATCTCGATATCGTCCATGCGGTCTCTTTTCTTGTCTTGAATATGAATACTGCTGTATCGTTCGTTCAGTCAATTTCAATGACCCCCAAACGACGACCTCGAGAAGCCTACCAAGTGGAGTTACGGATCTCAATTATGTAGTTATGTAAAGCACATCGTGATCGAGCTGGAAATGTCGGATTACATTTCGGGTACACCATGTGTAACAAGCGAAGGAATTCCGTGGGATACGTGGGAAGTTTTGTGTACACATTGTCCTGAATCGGGTGTCTTTCAACCAACCATTCTACCCTAAGCGTACATGCTTTGAAGACCGTGTACGAAGTAGTTCACGCGATCAATTGAGAGATCCACAAAGAGCTGCCAGCCAGTTGCCGTATCATCTCCAACTGTCCTTCGCCAAATTAGCAAATAACTTTGGAATAGAGATTTGAGAAGCTTTCACTCAGAAAGCTCGTCGATGCAGTCAGTGTACAGTGAAAGGTCTTCCTTGAGAGAGCTTGAGCCGTATAAAGTAGTCCTTTAATGGCGATACGCTCTGAAGAGTCTTAATATGTGCGCATGTTTTCCGTATTTTCATTTTCTATTCTTAAATCTATAAGCCTCGCTATTTCTTTAGCATCGGTATCATTGACTGATTTATTTGTGTCTTGTGCATCTTTTGTATCAAGTCCAATCGCATCTTTTCAAAGGCAGTTTTCTTCTCATTATCCAACGGTTCAAAAAGAGTTAAGCCCCAGGTGATACAGCGACAATAATGTCGACAGATGTTGCTTTGCAAGATTTCTTAGCGATTGTTGACGACGAGAGAAATGTTATGATTCAACACTTGCTTCGTTAACTCGTCATACCCTTTTCTATGTATAATTCAGTAAAACCTTGAGCCGGCCATATTGGCAGATATTTTGATAACATCATTGTATTTGATTTTGAGTTAATTCGTGAGCCATGCACCAATTATTGGCTTTTTCATCTATGCAAAGACTGTATATTTTCAATTGTTACAAGCCAAATGTCAAAGATAAATCCATCAGAAGTTTTCAACTTTGTACTTTGTTATATTTTCATCATTGATGTTTGAGACTTGAGATTGAAAAACTTAAATGATAGACAGAGCCTCGGATTTCTCAATCACACACCTTCTTATGCTTATTCCGCCGCATGCCCGGTCCAACCCATTGGAATGAGTTGAGGCGGATTCTGTCGGCAAACAAAACGATTGCCGAGTCCGGTTGTTGTTAACTCCCCGAGAATAAAGTGGATTTGGTCCGCTACCAAGCAGGACATCTTCTGGTAATTCCTGAAAGTGAGATCAATCAACCATCGGCTTCCTCTTCCTCGGACATTTGATTGATAATCTGGGGGAAAACAATATAATGGCCATAGCAATGAGTGCTTGAATATGGGGTAAATTAGGATGTCATTCAGTAATTTAATCCGGCACTTCACGTCGGCATCCTCAATTCAACACGGACAATGGAGTTTCATCAACTCGTGACCCACTGATTGATGTGTTCAGTGGAGAAGATGCAAGTCTAATATACTTGACGGCATTTTCCCTGCGTACCACCTCACTCATAACTTATAAGTAGCAAGATATTCTCTCATCTCAAAGGATTCTTTACACATTATCATTCCGCCTGCCTTGAATCGCCACTATGGATTCTGCTAAGTTCTCTCAATTCAACGTTTCAGCCAAAACCTATAAGACTGTCCGAGACCATGAAATACAAGCCTACATTCTCGTACCCAAAAATATATCTCCTGGGCCCCATCCTGTGATCGTGAAAATTCACGGTGGCGGTGCGGTAAATAGTTCTCGACTGCCCCTCCAATCTACGGATACTAAACCTTAATTTAGGTAGCTGGATCAGGAGTCTACGCTCCTTGGTTTGCCCAATACCTCCTGACCCTCGCGCTTCAAGAATCCGCTATCATTATCGCCCCAAACTATAGACTCCTACCAGAATCAACTGCTCCAGAAATGATCTCCGATATTTCCGATTTCTGGACCTGGACGCGTTCATCCTCATTCCAATCTTCTCTTCCCCCTAATATCACAGCCAACCTTTCTCACACTCTCTTGTATGGCGATAGTGCAGGTGGGCATCTCGCCATGCTATCCTCACTAACAGAACCGGAAAATACCATAAAAGCATGCATAGCCGCATATCCACAATTAGATATGGAAGATGATTGGTTCTGCGAGAAATTTGAAAAACATCCTTTTGGTGTACCCATGCTTCCTACGGAGATCTTGGATAATCATTTAGAGAAGTTGGAGAAGGATCCGAGTAAACGAGAACCTGTTACCGATACAGAAGATCCGTGGGGGAGATTGCAACTTATTCTTGTGGTGATGCAGCAAGGAAGATACAAAGAAATGTTTGGGGAAGAGGATCATGTATACCCTTTTCGAGTTCTTGAAAAGATATCTAAAGATGAAGTGGAGAGAAAGATGCCTTTCCTTTGGCTATATCACGGAGAAAAGGATAGCGTTCTACCTGCTGCCGGCGTCACAAAGTTTGCTGGGAAATGGAGGGAAGCGTTTGGAGGGGAAGGATTGATGGTACATATTGAAGAGGGCGCGGATCATGGCTTTGATACTGAGGCGGACGTTGATGCGGAGTGGCTGAAGGAGGGATTGAAGAAGGTCGTGGGGGTTTGGTTGAGGTAGTGATTGAGTAGAATACATGTTTTTATCAAATCAGACTTTATAAATATACGTGAAGACTGTATAAACTCAACAAACGCGGAATCTACGTAACCGCATTGAGCGTAGTTTCAGAGCCTCACCCCACAAACTGAAATACTGGTAAGAAAGATAATTTCGAATATCTTCAATTAATTCTTATTAAATCATCAATCATTATTCTGCTCTAGAACTTGAAATACTACAATTACTCAATAATAGAAATAAAAAGACTTTTTAATCATATTCATAAAAATCAATATTGAATTATTCATGTGCTCTGAGTTTGTAATAAAAGTGGAAAAATATCGGAATTCATTTTGTCCGACTGGGGTGACTAGCAATATGCTAGGCTAAATGTGGTTAATCGGATTACGAATCTGTTGAGTTTATACGATATTGTGACCATTCTAATTGGCTCATTACATCGTAGGTATTCAAGTAAACTGTATTTGTCGCTTATTTGATTTAGTAATTAGTAAGAATTCGACTTTTCAAGAACTTTTGTAGAAATTTGACACCTGGATTAATAACAATTGTAAGGCACCTGGATTAATAACCAATTGTAATAATGCTCATCGAGTGATTGTCGCCGGTCCTACCATTGGCCAAAATGTGTATCTACACGTGACGTGGCACCAATCGATGACCCGGCGCTAGTTCCATTGATCTTCTAGACGTTTCTAATTATACCTTTGAAGTAAGTTATCTTTAAACTTTACTGGTGGGTTATTCTGTGAATCGGAGTATCACATAGCTACCATTATACACCTTGGTTTCTACTAGAAACAGAGATTTCATGCTCGAGAAGTTGTAGGCCATGAAAGCCGAGGGAATGTGCTTAGCAAATTGTTTCAACTGGAAAAAAATAAGCTTGGCACAATTCTACGCTTCGCAACCCTTCACGATCGGCACCAATAAATCAATCTCGCCAGCACTATCATCAGGAGTGGACATTCTTGAACGACTTACTGACCTTGGGAAATTGGTATATACTCTCTCGGACGTCATTTGATTGAATCATTTACCAAAATACGAGAGGGATGTCTGTTGGTATCCCAGGGTGAGGCACACTCCGCCACCGAGCAAAAATGCAATTAAGTATGGGCGAAGCAAAGCCACTTGTTTGTTATCGAGTATTCCCCACACTGTCACTGCCTCGAGTTCGCATGCAATCATTGCGGTGATCTATTATTGAAGTTCTTGGGGCGGTTTAGATCACTGAATAAGTAAGTTACGATAGGGTTAGACATATTCGCCTTACAACAGCGTTAATATTCCCATTCGTTTTCCATTCGTCTAAATCATCCTTCTACTCCATTTTTACTTTTTTGGAACTCGATAAGCATCGAATCACTTCATTAATTGATTCTCCTCTGGTAGTTTCGACAGATATGAAGTCGTGGAATCTCTAGAGGAAGGTCGTGGCCATATGACTTTGAGACTTAGTAAGTTTCGTGCGAAACCGTGCCTTCTAGTAAAATCGACGCACAGAACAACCCCAACCCTATCACGATGTGCACTTGTCCAATGACTATTGTCATTTTAGTTTTAGCCTTTGGAAAAATATTCATCTTTCTCAATGCCGGTACCTGTCATTGTTAGAGCTTGCGTTACAGTTGCCTTCAACACTTGTCCAAGTTGGGGCAGTCATTCCAAATTGAGTAGATTTCGGTGCCCTGATCGTCGTTTAGGAAACCACTCATTCGGTGTTTCCTTCAATCTCACGATACTGCTAGAGGCATGGCAGCCTTACTATGCACCTGTCTTCTATTCTAGTCTCATCTACTTTTCATCAACCTTAAACATCTTCGATATTAACAATTGCTGTTGTTGACGACGCCGGCGCCGAACATGAGCTCGCGTTGATAGCTAGTAGCATAATGTTCACTCATGATTTTCTATTCTTGAATTTACACTCATAGATTGGGTTTCTAACATTTTAATAATTTCTTTTGACACTGTGGCGTAATGGCTATATCGGATACGATTCAGACGCTGTCTGCTGCTTTCTCATTGTTAGTCCATCAACCTCAAGTATTTTTGATCATTTTACTAACAATCACTAAAGTGGTATTCTTCTGCAGGCAGCGACAGGCGCATTACTTATATATGCTAGGGGTCATGGTTCAAATATCTTCAAGGACGGCCGGAGGCTGGTCCTCGTTCTGTTCTTGTTATTTTCTGTACTATGGGCACAGATTGGATTTTTAGAACTCTTAATGCCGACGACGGGTACCGGAATTTGTCAGGTTGGGTTAATATTTACAACGGCCTTCGATCAGTTGGCAAGGGTGGCACTCGAACAGTTTTTGTTGTGGTCGATTGGGCATGGAATGAAGATCACCGCCATTCGAGCTATCTTGCAAGGACTGTTGGCTGCCAGATTGATTGTGGGAGGCGTTTTGGTCGGAATCACTCGTCCTCAGTTTTCACCTACATGTGTCGCCGAAACTTCGATAATACCAGTGGCAATTGTAGTTCTAGTCATGGACATCATCATTGTTGGAGCTTTACTCGTCCAGGCTGGCTCTTTGGGGATGTTTTGGGATCGACGTGAAGACCGAAAAGTTCAGAGTCGAGCTCTATTGCTGGTCATTGCAGGCTTCACGATTTGGACTGCAGTATGTGCTTAGAAAGTTCTTCCGTCACCGTTACTGACACGAATCCTAGACCAGTGTACCCATGATTCTGGGAATACCTAGCATTATTCTGATCGTGCGTACTGTCGTACCAGCAAATGGCCTCCTTGTGCTCGTTGGTAGGTGTTAATCATCTATGGTTGTCGTTGTGTACTAATATTAATATCTTGTAGGCATAGTTACCATATTCTCGGTGGCATTGTTGTCTCCGAAGCAAGAGGATTCTGTAACCGCCGGTGCAAAATCTCCATTCTCTACTAGCCCGATGGCATCATCTCGGGGCATATTCCAGAATGGTATAGGAGCTGAAGGATCCCCAATAATTAGTCGTACTGGCACTAAGAATCAACTTTTTGTAGTCAATCCTTCCTCAACGACACCTCAAAGAGATGTACGGGGCTTTACGAAACTTGCCGACGATGGAGATTCAGGGGCAACGCAAGTTCCAGGTGGTGTATTCCCCGCCGTGTTCGCTGCATCATCGCTGTCTTCGGATCAAGCAGCATCTACATCGGCGTCCTCTAAACGCCCGAAAGTATCCGTTCGAGGTCTTGCTATCTCGAAGCCTATAGTTAGTGATGAAACGAATCCCGATACACCTTTTGCAAAGATAGCTACGATTGATCTTAAGACTGCCGTAATGAACGATCGCGAACGAAGAGAAATGAACAGTAAAAAGTCTCCATTCAATACTCCAAGAGCAGTTCCTCTACGGCCAAGAATTTCACCTGAAGAAATGTTGAATAAAGCCAATGAATCTGCAAGGAAAGGACCATCATACCAACCTAAAGAGTGGACGGCGGATTCTGGAGTTTCCACTTCTGCATTACTTTCTCCTGCACAGGAAGTGCGACGTCGGTCACCACGAGGAATTACTAATTTAGAAACCTTGGAAGAGAAGCAGACTTATAGACCTGACGTCGGATTACCATCTATGCCTAGAGCTCAGAATTCAATGCCACGCCGACAGAATGCTGTAGCTCAACCAGAAACGGTTATGTTAATGAATGATATCATTTATGATAACCCCACAATAGTACAATCTATTATCAGTAGAACCCCTGGACATTCCAAACAAAAGTCCTTGCAGGAGCTTTCACCCTTGACTCCTTATACTTCGACATTTAGACCTCGGGAGTCTGTAATTGACAGAGCGAGACCTATTCCCAGGCACAAGAATACTGGCATGTTTGGAAGTGAGCCCTTGCCCGGCCACAGGCGTACCAAATCAGGCTCTTCAATCTTTAGCAGGAAATCTTTCTTCAATATTCCAGATGATGCACCAGAGCTGCCTCCACTTCCAACAAAGCCACATCCAGTGTATACTGCTGCCGAACTGAAGAAAATTTTACCTAATGATACTAAGAGTATGACGCTTAACGAAAAGATAGAGTTCTTATTCCCAGCTCCGCCAGAAGTCGGTTTGCTCAACAATCGCCGATCGTCCGTTCCAGATCTTCCCAGCATGGCTAGTCAATCAGCTATTGAGAATGAGATAGACTTCCAAAATAACCCCGTTTCAAAACGAACGACGATCATCGCAGCAATTAGTCCACAGGTTTATCCAACACAAGGTTCGACAGAAGCAAACCTCAATCGCGAAACGTATCGTTCAAATGCAGTAGGAAGTCCGTCAAAAACGTTGGTGCCAAGTCGAATTTATAGCGACGCAAGTATTCTCAAGTCGGAGGGCGAAACAGTCCCAACTAGCTCTCATAATGAGAACGCCCAAGCGTCGACTCCTTTGGATGAAGATTATTTGAGCGAGACTAGTCCATCGATTGCATCTGACACGTATAGAAATTCTTCATATTCTGCATATTCGCCACTGAGAAGTCAAAGGTTTACACCTGATGTTGAGACACTGGAACGAATGTCGGCGATTGCGGTAGAGGATGAAGGAGATGAAGGAGAGGTCATGGTTGTCATGATGAATTCTGCTGAACATCGAAGATCTATAGCCGAATCAGCGGTGAGTGACAGGGAATCCTTCATTTTCGATATTAATGGTTTGCCCATTGAAGCAACTCACACGCTCCCAACATGGCATCGACGTATCGGTGACGAACTGCCTGCATTTTCTGATCGAAGATCAAAACATGGATCCCGAAAAATATCGCCTCCTACTGCTTTACAGTTGGAGCCACCACGTGGGAGAGCATCTCCAATTCTCATCCGTAAAGTAGAATCATCTCCACTTTTAGATTCACCAGGAAGGGCACTTCAAGAGATTCAAGATCAATTGAATCGCATTGAAGAACCAAGACGTCCATCACTGGGATCGATTCTACGTCGCATGCCGGCTACAAAAGAGCTCCAAGACCTTGGCTACGATGAGGGTATGGAGAGATTACGATTACTTGAAAATCTCGAGAGGGAAATGGGTGAGCAAGAGAACGATTGGCAACAGATGCATCAGAATTTCAGTCCTGACTCTGATTCCTCAATTGGTTCTCTAGCTACCCCAGAATTCCAAGAGACCCCCGAATTTAGAAGATCGACCATGGAGACAGCTGATCCGAAGAGGTTATCATTAGGGTTACGCCGCACTTCATCTCGAGTCATACGTCAACGGATGAGAGAGAATATGGCTGGATCATCCGCGGAAGATGAGATCATGTCTTCCCAGGTCCAAGAGAATCCTAGTTTGGGTGACTGGCAGCAGCGCTTAGCTAATGCCCAGATTTCTTACATGGAGAACGCACCAGCAGTCTCTCATTCTCGAAGCAGCAGTATAAATTTCTTGTCGGTGTCCAAAGCACCAATGGGAAGCCCTGCTCCAGTCGAGACCGAGCCAGAGACCGAGTCGGAAAGCGAATATGAAGAAAGCGAGGAAGAATTTATGGATGATGAACTGCCAGTGACTTCGCCATATCACCCAAATTTGTTGTGGCAGCCAGAACTTAACTCACCAAAATTAGACGCCTCGTCACTTTGGAGCTCTGTTCATGAGAAGGCCTCCCTGGAACCCAGTCAATCTCCTGAGCTTCCAGCAAAGAACTTACGTCCCGTACAGCGAAGATGCGATGTTGAAATGGTACTCAGTAGCAGCAATCTATGGTCAAAATCGTCTTTGAACATGCAACCTAGCAGTGATGTAGCACAAGAATTGTGGCGATCGACGCCAGTCCAAGCAATTACTGTCAAAGCTCGCCCGGTAACCCAAAGACCCCCTAGAAGATCCAGGCGTATCACGCTTTTGGCAGACATTGGTATGTGATTGTTGATATTCTGTTACTAAATATACGGATACACAGCTAACAATAAATAGTCGAAAACCCTGAGCCTCTCCCTAACAAACGCGATACATTGGGCATATTTCAATTTCCATGGGGCGAGCGATCTGACGCAGCGATACCACAGCAAACCTACAATCCATCGTTCCAGGCTGGACCACCATTAAACGCGATGCTCGACTCGAGGTCGCGTCAATTGGAATCCGATGGACTGGCATATTCATCCACATCATTCTTTGATTACGACGAGGAAGAGGAATTTGACTCCGAGATGGAAACTGAAAGCGATGATGATTTCGACGAGACGACTTTGTGGGAAATTGCAAGCATGCTCAAGACTACTGACCTTCCATCAAAGGATAGCTTATTACCACCACCAAAGTCTTCCCAAAATATCGTTGATGATTACGATGATTATGAGATGAGCTCTGAGACTGATTTTAGCTCTGAGAATGATGATTATGAGGAGTTCAATAATGAGTTTTATGGAGACTACAACGAGGCTAGAAACTCAACCATCATATTTTCTCAGGATGATATTTTGAACACCGAGGATATGGTTATTTCTAACGTGACATCACCACTCGTCGTATTGGATGAACAGAGCTCCCAAGATTTGTTCGAATTTTCAGGTGATTCTTCCAGGTCTCTAGTTGAAGACTCGCTACTTTGGGATCACACCCCGTCACCAAGTACCAAGGGATTCGAGTATAGTTTACCTCAGCCAACTTCGGATGTCTGGCAATCATATATCCCATCATCGCAAGACACGATCCGAACAAAATCTCAACCGTCGCTTTCAGTACCTAAAATTTCGATCCACGGCCTTTGGAATGAGGAGGACAGTGATGTTCCTGAGGAACTAGGGTCAGACATGGAGATTTCTGAGGAACTAGAGTCAGACATGGAAATTTGCTTCGAAATTCAATCGCCGCCTACCATTTTCACGAGTTTCATGTGGACTCCTCCAGCGGTTTCTTTTGAAGTTCCAAGTTATGGTTTATTCTCCATTGAATCCAAGCGTCAAGATTTCCGCACAACTACACAAACACCGGCTGCAATTGACATCAAGAAGGTCCATAGGGTGAACTCATCTGCACTGTCCGCCCTCTCTTCCGATGAGTTGTGGTCAATCAAAGAATTTGTGCCACGCACAGGCGAGAACTGGATGTTAATGAGTACTGTTAAACCAGCTTCATTGACAGTTGCTGCTAGTCGCTCTTTCATGTGGACTCCAAATACGGTTGCTACTGGTGAGATCATCGAAGGTCTATTCCAAGCAAGATCATCTCGTACCAATTATCGCACGACCGAGCTAGAGCCAGCCGCATTAGTCTTGACATCCAGAGTAAGAAGTGTATCTGGAACCCTCCAAAATCTATCATCCAATAAGCTTTGGCGTCGACCATGCCTATTACACCTAAAACGTGATCATGATTGGATTTCAGAATCTTCCATTCGACCAGTTAGTCCGTCGATAGCATCCGAGACAAGTTCTGGAAGATCTTCACCTGATATTTCAGATGCATCTTCTATCGCTTCAACTAGTACTAAAGCATCGTCACTCTTCTCTCTCGCTTCCGTTTCATTGGCTTCAGTTTCCATGCGAAGAACTCTCTCAGCCAAAAAGAAGGATGAAGTTATCCCACCACCGCCACCTCCTGCTGACCCAAGCAAGTATCAATCCAAGCTACCTGTTCGTCAAGTTTCTCTGAAACCAACTCCGAGATCTCCTCCAAAAGCTGCACCATCAGTACTGCTCAGACAGTTGAAAGTTTTGTCCTCAAGAGATATATTCGAGGCACGAATTCCTCCCAACTCAGAAAAGCCTCAGTTGCCGAAATTCCGTAGATCTGTGGTGCCAATGAAACCAGTCAAACCAGCTCACCGAGCTATTAGACATCAATACAGATCTACCGTTGCTTTCCGTGCCAATTGGGAGGATGCGTTGAACGAAGCTATCATTGCAGGATTAACCAGGTCTAAGACAACACCTGCTGAATGGGATCTTTCTCTAAACGAGGCTATAACTCTCGGAACACCACCAACTATCGAAGAACCCCAGCCATCTCTGAATCTCTTAGAATTAGACCTCATTGATCCCATTGCAGAAAATACCACCGGACCAACCTACTCCGCTATCTATAATCCGGCAATCCTCCACCCCGTTTTCTTCACCGAAACTCTCGTCTCAGATGTGAACAATATTCATCCCGCGGCTGTTGGACACACGAAACTCCTATGTCTTACAGCTAGTGTTAATGATTGGGATCGTGCATTGGGAAAAATTGTGCAAACAGATACGACTCGTGTGCAACGTCCAACGGTGTTTGCTTTTATGTGGAAAGATGCGCTAAAGGAGGCTATTGCTGCGGGTATTCCGAAGGAACTAGAAAGGTCTGATGTTGTTCAGCTTCAGAGAGATACGGTGGTGATGACTGAAAACGTTTTTGATTCTAGCTACAACGTTTCGTCTCTTCATCCAGTCTTCTTCTCTGATACTCTCGTTTCGACTACAATGGATATTCACCCTGCTTGCATCGGACATTGCATCATCACAAGTTCTCATTCAATGTCCGAGTCTCGTCTCTGGGTCCCAAAATTAGCAAGCATGACGTCAGTCGTAGATAGTGGGCTATGGACCGAACTATCGAACTTTGTTTGCGAAACTCGGCCACAATTTGAGACGTTAACACTCGACCATTCTCGGAGAATTATTGCGCAACATGATCTCGAATTGTCTACGCTGGAATCTTATGAGCTTTGGCAACCATCTTCAGTTTCACTCATATCAAGAAGTTGGTTACATACTTCGAGCAAGCCTAAGACCACCCGCAATCTCCTATTCCAGAAGCCTGTCGTTGATGTCATCAACCAGAGTGATGCCTTGATGTGGGAATTATTGGCAGGAACCGTCAAGTATATTCCAGATATGTTTACAAACTTGAAGCACGATCATCTTCAGAGACCTTCAGGTGTTCATTCTTCACTTCTTCCGTCTCTGGAATCTAAAGAACTTTATACGGTGTCGGGAAAAAGTGAGCCTGAGATTCACTGGCTACGTACATCCATTGCGTCACCCGTCGTCGCGCAAAACATCTTTGAGATGTGGACCGCCAATGGATTATCTACTCCGGACTTGTTTTCATGCATAATGTATGAACCAGTCAAGAAAATATCTGCTACTCGTTCATCCGTTCTCCCACGCCTAGAGTCCTCGGAGCTTTTCACACCTAAGGATAAGTCACAGCCGGAGATTGATTGGCTTCGTGCATCTTCTGCGCAGCTCGTGATCGAAGAATCGGTTGCAGAAGCAATAGTTGACGACGAAACAACACCTGCTAGAGAGCCCACATTTGAGGACTTAATGGCTGATGTGGAGACTCTTACCGAAGAAGAGATTGCCGAGCTACTAGCTGCAGATGAATTTATGACAGAAGAGGACTTGGTTGATATCTCTACCGCAGACGAGCCTTTGATCGATGCTGAATCGAACTTACTTGAGCTTGAGATAATGGATATGCTCGAGTTAGAGTCTGCACCTTCTGAAGAGCTACCAGAGCTAGATGAGCCTTCATCGCGAGTCGAAAAGTTGTGGACTCCATCCCCACAGATTGCAACGGAAGTATCCACAGGAACATGGAAAGTAACCCCAGTGGCTGCAATCGCTCGTCCAGATATCTTTATTAAGAGCAATGAATCGCACCCTCAGCAGTCGTCAACCTCCTTTCATGCTCATATCGCAAGACTCGAGTCATTACAGCTATTCACACAGAGCTTCGTTTCCAAAAATGAAATTGACTGGCTTCACACCTCCTGCTTGTCTGACACCTCAAGTTCGAATCCAGTATGGACTCCAAGTCCTACTGAGACCTCAGCCGATTCAGTCCCATCCCCTGTGCTCATCAATGCAAAGACTTGGATGCCCAGGCCATCACCCATAACACAGGTCTCTATGGGAGCCATGTGGATGCCATCCATAACACAAATCCAAATTGAGCTCCCTATGTTCTCCAAACAATATAGTTCACCCTTGATCCGAAAGAGCAGACAGGAACTCGAGAAGAAAATCGAAAGCACCGAATTATGGACAGATGAGAAAAGCACTCCGGAAAGCCCTAAACACTGGTTGTTGGGCTGAACAACAATAAAACGGAATATCACTAAACGATCATTGTATATTAAGTATGTCTGATGAATTATGTATACTATAATTTGTGCATTTTGGGTTGCCTCTATTGAATATCCATGAAAGGGAGAATAAAATCGGGGGATACAGGTCGGGACGGTGCATATTGCATTTGGCGTAAGAAAGGATGATACCCGCCAATCATGTATATAGTTTGTTCACGAGTCATTTCTGGCTTTTCTCTGTAACATTGTTCAATATACGCACGTTACTTTGATGCTATTCTGCTCCGCTCTTGTGTGTAACAATCCTCCTCACGTTTAGCTTCGCAACGTTACCTAAATGCCCTGGTGAGAATGAATATACGTGAGACTCGAGTCGTAGGTGCCTTTTTCGGCGTAGTTCTATTAAAGAATGAGCAACAGATGCGTGTCCTTTGCATTGCAAATTGAGCATCGAACCCCTTATTTGGTAAGGTGCGGAGCAGGTGTAAAGAATTCCTGTATTTCAGACACACAGTATCGCACTTTGCAAAATTCTGGACAGTTTAACATGGCTGTCAGAATATCGTTTCGTGTTGAAAGTAACTACATCCTGCAGCAATTCGATTTTTGCTTGTTTTAAGAATCGATAGGTTCTCAAATCTGGAGGACAATTGACGGGCACGTGGTCAAGGTCATGTTATGTAAGCAACCTTATCTCAGATACACCAGCGACGCTGAGTTTGTTCAAATCCGGTTTATATTATGAGCCCCCGACACGTTTTATATAAGAGAATACTAGATACATTTTCCGCAATTAAAGTTTGCCCCAAGAAATCCGTAAAGAAAAATCGCTCAAGTCGCCGCCAAAAACTCATCAACAAGCTTATGCTTTGGTGAGTGAGGTGCCTTCTAAGAATCGCCACAGATCATTACAACAATCTTCTAAACTCTTCTCCGTCTTCCACATCAACTCCTCTTCCGCCTTGTTCGCTAGTGCCACACACTTGCCGACGTCTCCTCCTCTCCTGCCTACAATCTTGGTAGGGATCTTTGTCTGAGTGGCCTTCTCCATTGCGTTCACCACGTCAAGAACCGAATATCCTTGACCAGTACCGAGGTTATAGACCTTGAAGCCACCACTTGGTCTGTTGCTGATAGCTGCCAAATGACCGCGCGCAAGATCGGTAACGTGGATATAATCTCTTACAGCTGTACCGTCGTGAGTGTCATAATCATCACCATACACGTTCAGGGCAGGCAAAGCCCCCGTGAGCACGCGTAAGACCACAGGCATCAGATTCGACGCGGCAACCCGAGGGTCCTCTCCCAGCAAGCCTGATTCATCGCATCCGATCGGGTTGAAGTAACGCAGTGCAGTGATCTCCCAATCGGGATCGGAATTGGCGAGATCGCTCAGGATTGCTTCGCACATCCATTTGGTGCGTCCGTAGGGGTTTGTGAGACCCGAGCATCCTGACCCCACCACATATTCTTCGCGAAGTGGCACCCCAGTATCCGCAACTGTTCCATAAACTGTTGCAGAGGAACTGAACACCATCTTCTTGATCCCAAATTCCTGCAGCAGAGTGCAGAAATCGACTAGGCCGCCAACATTGTTTGAATAATATTTGAGGGGTTGTCGTATACTTTCTTCGACGGCCTTGTATGCGGCGAAGTGTATGACGCCGGAGATACTCGATCTTTGACCATTGCAAAGAGTGACCGAACTCGAATCGAAGCTCATTACGCCTGGATAGTCATATTGTTCCAGTATCGTTGTCATTTTGTTCATGTCCCTGAAGTCCGCATCGTGAAATTTGAGTAACGGTCGGTGTACATTTTTGCGCTGAGCACTGTAATGCTGATCGACCATCAACTGGAGTTTTTCGAATACAGTTAAAAACGAATTGCTGAGATTGTCGATGATAGCCACCTAAAAAGTTGTTAGCGAAACCCCCAAAAATTGTGGGTGATATCATTACATTGTATCCAGCTTTGGCTAGTTCCCACACTGTGTGACTACCAATGAACCCTAAACCACCGACGACCAGTATCCATTGATCGTTAACTGCATTTCTAACTGCGTTTCTAACTGCGAAATCGATATCATTGACGTCGAATAATAAGGATTTTTCTGTTAAAGGAGTGTTGAGAGCACTGTCTTCGTTATCAAAAGAGAGTAGTTCAGGTGTGGAAGCACCCGAATTTGTGGAAGAATTTGTTGAGCCAGGCATATTATCGGTAGAATCCCTGCAGAATTTAGTTAACGAGGTATTTGAATGCGTTGGTTCCAAGGCTCAAGAAGTCTTCATATTATACCTTTTTCACACTGGCCTGGACCTCTCAGCTAACGCTCGTATATAATTATAGTTACAACACAATACTCGCCTGTATTGCAGCCGCGCACTACTACCAAGACCTTACGGGATTACTTTGCGTGCCATATTGGGCCACACTTGGTTTCAAGACTGCTGAAGTGCAATTTCAAAAGCAAGTCCCTCGTCCGAGTCAGCCGCTACAAACTTTCGATATAGAGGCTTGAGGCTACCTTCCTTGCTAGGGGACTTTTTGCGAAATCTTCAGAATATCTTGAAAGGGAAGTTAGGTTGCAGCAGCCTAATCCTGTAAATTTATTTCATCATTGCGTACTTGATTGACGATGTTCTTCAAGAAGAAGACCTCAGTGGTACCTACCAAATCGAAGGTTCTCGTCCCTCTCTACATTTACCCTTCCCCTGGTGCGTGGGGACGGTTAATTCAAAGGCAAGTCGGGGAGAGCGACGGCATGTTTGGAACTATTGATCCTGGGGCTGACTGAACAACAGCATTTCTACGTATCCGGGTCTTGAATTCATCATCGTGGTTAATCCTCACAATGGCCCTGGACAATCACTCGATAGTAACTACCGAAGAGAAATCCAACAATTAAACTCATATCCTAACGTTACGGTTGTCGGCTATGTCTCTACTGCATATGCAACCAGGCAATATCCCGACATTCTAGAAGATGTCAAAACTTACGCCGCTTGGAGGCTCGAAGATGATGGGCTCGGCGTTCGAGGCATATTTTTCGATGAAACACCGAACCAATGGTCCGCCTCGAACGAAGCATTTCTAGCAAACATTAACGCTGCAGTAAAAGGCAGTTCTGGTCTAGGAGCAGAGCCTCTTGTGCGTGCATTTCCCAATATACTCTAGTACTAGTACTAATACTGACTGATCGTTACCGAATAGGTCATTCACAATCCAGGAACCGTTCCTCACAAGAAACTAAGATCTGGACAATGCTTACCGGATATCAATGTGGTGTTTGAAGCAACTCACCAGACGTATCGGGAGAATGCTTGCGAGAAAGCCCTCACGGAACTTAAAATGGACCCAGGACGTTTGGCGTGCTTGATGCACTCTGTGCCGGAATCTTTGATGTCCACACATTCCGCCGTTGCATCCGAGACTCAAAAGCTGAGGTCGATTGTGGGGACATTATATATCACTAGTCAGGCAACAGAACTCTACACTGGCTTGGGGGATCAATGGGAAAATTTCATCAGAGCTGTTAGCTCCTAAGGACCTAGAACAAGAATCTCATTTTATCTTACTTTTTTGGTGGAGCGTGGGAATTGTTTTGGTAACCAACTTTTGGGCTCAATTGTCATGTTTTGATATCGGACTACACGGAAGCACTGGGAAGCATTAGCAAGTATGGTGAAACAAACCAACAATACGGGTTTTAGTCTCTTGGCAAACTTATTGCAAATTATTGTATCTACCAGAATCCTGAATTTTATGTGGTATTTTGGAGGCTAATTCCGGAGAATATTTTTCCACCGTCTACGCGATCAGATAGCAACCCCTGGACCCTGAGTCTTCTGCGCGTTTGGAAACAATCATCCTAGAGGGATGAGCACGGCTTCTTCAGCGATAATCGTGGAATATGGCACAATGGGTATAGAAAATTGCGACCGGGCCTTCTACCCGATTCAGTGATTTCTCCAAGTTTCCACAAAATGGTTGCATCATCGATAAATCAATGTCAACAAAGCGAAGCGAGATTGATGAGAAAGAGAAAATTTCCTAATTACCGTTTCATCTCGCCACCCCCAAAAGTAAGGTCGAACGGCTAGATCAGGAACCCAGCTAAATCGTTGTATTCGACCTACAGCGATTCTGTAAGTCTTACCCCCCTATCGTGTCAGGGTGTCTTTGGGTACCCCGCAATCGGAGGGTCCCCTTGTATTTTTTTTTCGTGGTAGCTCGACAGGGTCCAAAATAATACGCCCAATATGCTGGTCAGATTAAAGTTGCATCCTTTATGCCATTATTATCCACTTTCGTCTAATCTTATTTAGCGTACTACTACCCAATACTCACCTAGAGTAGGAAGGTTCCTTCCCTCTTCAGCAGTTGATACCACCGCGGAGATAAATTGGGAGCCGCAAAGGGTATCATTTGATCGATAGGGCTTATGCACATCATTCATCCCAAAGTTGTGTCTCTGGATGTACATTAGGCAGTTGGGATTTTGGATCCAAAATGGAAGCTCTAACTTGGGTCGGAATCCTCCAGGTGAGGAAAAACCTGCTCGATTATGGTACATTGCTTGCTGATGGTGAAATATCGCCCGCTGCCACACCAATCCTAGTCATCATCTGCAGACGGACTTTCCATGTGTCATAATTTGGAGATTTTCGTAGGGATCCCCACACGCTCCCTTGTATTTTTCACAGTCCCTTGTTTTTTTTCTAGACGCTCGAGTGATGATGTAAAGGGTGAGACTTTGTTCGCATAGGTATCTTAATCGTCTAGAGTGTTTATTCCTACTCCACTATGTTTCCTTATGCCGTGCAATTTCTGCCACCTGTTTGGAAACGACTAAATTTTCAAGTCGACATGCTTAACTTAAGCATGCGTAGGATTAAAATAGCTACAAGCATGCATGTGTAAAGCTTCATTGGTACACGATGTTTATCAACCACATCGTATTCTTTTCGGGCTAAAATATTACATTCCACTTAAAATCCACCTCCC